ACACATAGGCTTGAAAAAAATAGATGTTTGTTGAATAAATGAATCAACAAGCAGACAGAGGGAAATAAAATGCTTATGATGCATCAGATGACAGGAACTAAAAGTGAATGTAAAAATCATGCAGTGTTTTTTCTTGACTTTATGAGATAGTTTCAAGAATCAAAATAAAGTAGTTGGGCAAATAGGATATGGAATAGATGGGAATATGGGAGAAGTTGTTAATGAAAGTATTTCTAACTTTCCCCCTTCCAATTTATAACCCACTATCTACAAAGAGCAGTACTAAGTCCAAGGTCACCTCAGGGGTCAGGGACCAAGCTAAGTGGAATTTAAACCCAGGGGACTGGGCTTACTGGGGGATAAATGGTTATAAAGTGGGTGGGGAAAGATTAAATGAGCTAAGTGCCTGGGATGGGCATGAATGTCACAGAAGGAGGAGCACAGAGTGGAAAGCTGGAGCTAGGTCTCAATGTGGGGCTGAGCTTCTCACCTCCATGTGCAGCCTCCATTCATTACTGTGCTTCCAGGTATGGGAGAACGTCTGCTGTAAAGGGAAAATGCAACTGGGCCAGAAGTAACTCTTTGAGTCTCTGCTCAAAGATTTCAAGCTGTAGACACACCCAAATACAACACCCAGGACTGCAAACAGTTCCAGGCAAAGTTTAAGTGGAAGGACCAATGTTCTAATCACGAGTCTCTCAGTGGCCTTAAAACTCTCATTAGCTAGATGGTTTTACTCCTGAGGTGCTACCACATGGAGGCTCTGTTCTGCCTAGTTTGGGGTTTGATCAGTACTTAATAGTGTAACTGCCTGAGTTGGGAAGCAGAGACAGCTAGGTGGCTATAACCCCCTTCCTCAGTCTCTAAGGGAAGTTCAGCACCCCACATCCACATTGACTCCAAGTCACGTGTGGCTCATGTGAATTAATGAGTAAAACCATGTCCACTCCTAGTGCTCCAGAGAAACTGAGGCATGGGGAGAAGGAATATGTGTATCACACACTAAGCTCCAAGATCTGCTTCTCAGACCCTGATCCAAACCACTAATACACATATCACTGCGGGAATTCTTCCAGTCTTTCTTGGTACAGCTGGAGATGTCAAGCTCCTGGATAACAGCACAATACCCAGCCGTTTCTCAAAATTCTAACATTTCTGCAATTGGGCTAATTCTCTAAAACTTGACAGGTCATTCACTCAGTGATGTTTTAATTGGGGTCTTCCATGTGTCAAGAATCATACTAGGAACCTCCCTGGTGGCGCAAGGGGTTAAGTTGCAGCACTATGAAACTAACTGCAGTTCAAGTTTGATCCCCAGTCAGAGAGGTGAACCACATGGCACAGCAGACCTCTCCTGTCTCGCCCACTGCTCCCCTCAGCAGTGTATTTCAGTAGATCTGCCTGTTCTGCTCCCCACTCTGTCTCTGGTGAATCCTCTCACCTCCACACCTCTGGCGTGTACCCCAGTTCTTGTATGCATAAATACATAAATCTTTAAAAAAAAAAAAAAAAGAATCATTCTAGAGCTAGGGAAAAAATGAAAAAGTCCTGTCCTTTGGAATGTATATTCTAGTGGGACAACCAACAACACAGTAAACCCATAAACTGCATAGTTGTTAAAAATGGATATATCCAATGGGCCTCCCCTGGTGGTGCAGCGGTTGAGCGCACCGGTTCGATTCCCGGCCACCAGGCGAGGGTCCCACATGGCGCGCAGACCTCTCCTGCTGCCCGCTGCTCCCCTCAGCAGTGTGTTTCGTCAGTCTGCCTGTTCTGTTCCCTGCTCTGGCTCTGGTGAATTCTCTCACCCTCCCGTGCTTCGACTGTACCCAGTGCTTGTATAAATAAACAAATCTTTAAAAAAAAAAAAAAAGAAATGGATATATCTAAGAGAAAGAAAAATCAGCACAAAGTGGAGCAGATGAGAAAGATCAGTGTGAGATGGGGGTTACAGTTTTAAAAACAGTGACAGGAAAGTCTCACTGAGAAAGTGAAATTGAAGCAACCTGAGGAAGGGGAGCCAGTGAGCCACCCTGACATCAGGGAAGAACATTCCAACCTGAGGGACAGTGTAGGTCAAAGGTCCTAGGGCGGGATGGTCCCAGATGTTCAATAATAGCAGGTAGGTCAGTGGGGTTTGCAGATAGTCAGCTATTCATTTGTTCATTCATTCATTCATTGTATAACAAACATTTACTGTCACTCTCTTAGCCAGACACAGTAGTAAACACACTAATAAGATATGATCCCTACCCCCAAGGTTATAATGCTGGGGGAGGGAGGAGATAAAACAATTTTGGAAGGGGATTATGCCCGGAGAAGAAAAACTCTGGCGGGGATCAGGGACCTCACCCATCCTGGTGATGCTAAAGGGTCCATCGACACACAGGAAAAGACACTTGGCTAGATCGGCAGGTACCCAGCTCAGATTGTGGTATTGTGGTGCCACTCGCAATACTGACCAGGTTAACCCTACTCACTTGTATTTCTTAGTTAAAAAAAAGAGTCCTCCAGGACCTCCTCTGGTGGCGCAGCGGTTGAGCGCTGGGCTGTGAGGCTGCTCGAGAGCCGGTCAGCTGGCAAGGGTCCCACAAAAAAAAAAAAAAAAAAAAAAAAAAGAGTCCTCCATACACCAGATCTGTAAAGAAAATCTTCTAAGTTGCAGACATACACTGTGATGCCCTAGATGGCTTCAGACTAAAAAGGTAGGTACCAGGTGGAAATAATCTAGGATAGGCCACACTTGTGTGTGTGTGTGTGTGTGTGTGTTGGGGGGGGGCGGGGGGGGGGGGAGAAGAGTTGAGGAGCATGGCAACGACTTAAGACTGGGAACCAGGAAGTGATGGTGTAAAGCCTCAGGGTATGTTCATCAGGAGTGACCATCATATCACACTTACAGCTCCTGGGCTTCCTGCTGCTCTGGGTAGACTGCCTGCCTCTCCTTGGAATCACCAGTGCCCCCTCCAGGGCCAGCCCCAGGCTACTGGCCTCTGATAAGGAGAGTCTAGTGGACCAAAACGTGCACTGGGGAGTTCTGTTCAGCAGATCTTTGGCCTGAGAGAAGCTAGCTGTTTTCCAGCTTTATGAAGCGGCATTTTTAACAAGACAGTCCAAAGATGACCCTGCCAAGACCCAGGAAGCTCCCACCCTAATGGGAGCTCAGCTAGCTAGCTGACCAGGGGCTGGGAAGCCTGGCCAAACCAATGCATCCTGGTTGGATCCAGATCTTAACTGAAAGATGCACACGTGTTTGCTGGGTGTGTCCCCAGTACCAGTCCTAAAGACCATAGAGATGGTGAGGAGGAAGCTGCCCTGGTGAGTCTTAACCAGGCTCCTGACCAAGCAACAGGAGAGAAGTACTCAGAGCCCAGAGGCTGCAGGGTGGTGGGGAGAGGGGTCACAGATCCTCAATGCTCTTCTGTCCCAGGCTTGAGTACTTGAGAAAAACAGGGTGCCCCCCAGACTGGGCCACCAGCACCAGACATCTGTATCCTCCAGTCCCTCTGCAAGGAGGCTGCCTTATTCCCATTGGGGCTCATGTTACTCAAATGCTCCCAGCTCTGATGCTAAAATTCAATCTGTGAAATTGGAAAGGGGAGGGTCCCAATCCCCCACCCTGATCGGAGCATCTTTTCCGACCAAACCTGGCAATGCCAGTTCCTCCCTATTCCACTCCATCACTCACTGATCCAGCCAGTTCCAGGCTCTCCTCCACTCTGCTCCAGAAATGACTGACAAGGTTCTGGGGACTTGCTCCCAGATAGGGCTCAGAAGTCACTCATAGCCCAGGGTGGGCCTGAAAAGCCTTAGCCAGCAGGAGCTCTACCTATAGGAAACGAAGCAAAGTCCCAGGGTTTAGGATGAGCTCCCTCCCCTCCCCCATTCCTCTATAAAGAGCTTCCCTTTCTGCCTCCTCATTCCCTTTGGCCTACGAGGGTTTTTACTCCATAATTGGCTTGTTTACTGCCACTGAGGGCTTCAGAGTGGCAGAGGTGGGAGGAAAGTTTTGTTGGAAGTAAGGAAAGGGGTGTGTGCCCTGAGCTTTGAGGCTGGTGAGTAAACCCTCCAAGTGCCTCTCTAACTACCTGAGAACTGGCCAAGAATCCATGTGAGAAAAAAACACAAGGCAATGCAAGGCCAGCTGAAGATTCCCAGCAGACCACAGGAGGGAAGCTTATGTTTGGCGCCCAGGAAATACAGAACAATAAACCAAAACTTAATCTGCGTGCTTCTGCTGAATAGCTGAAAGCAGTACTTGGCATTGTTCTGGGTGGGGAGTCAACTACAGACCTCCCATTTGGGCTTCTGTGGGTCAGGAGCTCCAGTGACATCATTACCCTACTCAAAACCTTCCAAAGATACCCAACTCTTGAGCTTGATTTTCAGGCTTAATACCACAGGTCCCCAAATAACACAGCACCACCAGTCACAGATTGACAGAACCTACACTCAGCTGAAAAGGACCATCTACTAGGCCACAAAGCACATCCTTTGCTCCCCATTCAGGTTCTTTGCTTGGGGGGGCTCCCTCTGCTGCAAGTGCCAAGTCTCCCTACCTTGTAAAGACTCTCTCCAAAGGCCCCTTCCCTTGTGAAGGTTTTCCCAGTTCCCCTGTCCCTTGTCCATGCCACCCCTATCAGTTCTGCAGGCTCCTAGTTCTAATCTCCATGCCCTGGTGTTGACCTCTTTGAGGGCATTTGCCTTACTCATTCCTGCTTCTAGTTCCCTGAGGCCTTGCTCTATTCCTCCAAGAGAACCAAGCATGTCTTACTCTGCTTTGATTTATCTAAAGTATACAGCACAGTACCTGGCAGACAGCAAAAGCTTAAGAACTGGGTTTTTTGCTGCACCAAATACTGTTCACCTCAGAGGCATAGGAAGTGATAGGTGTAGGGGCACAAAGTCAGGAGCACACAACACTATGATCAGCAGACACAAAACAGGCAGAGTGGGAGAGGCATCAAAAAGAAATGAACTGGGGGAGACACACCAGGCCTTACCCTTCTTGAACTCCTCCAGCATGGCATCCAACTTGGTGTCGTGGAAGACAAAGTGCACGGGGTGGTTGTAGAAGCGGGTAATGGTCTTGAGGGGGGTGCAGTCATCAGGATCCACAAAGGCCAAGTCTTTGACATAGAGAAGATCTACAATATTGGACTGCTCATCTTCAAACACAGGGATGCGGGTATAGCCACTCTCCATAATCTCTGACATAGTGTTGAAGTCCAGGATGGCATCACTGCGGATCATGAAGCAGTCTTGGAGCTGGGTCATGATGTCCTCCACCGTTTTGGTCCGTAGTTCCAGGGCACCCTGGATCATGTTTAACTCCTCTTTCACGAGGTCATTATAGGGCTCTGTCACCTTCAACATTTCCATCAGCTTCTCCCGATTGTAAACAGTGCGAATCTCCTGGCCCAGAACAAAGTCCAGGAGCTTGCTGATGGGGAAACTGAGGGGGAAGGTGATTAGCATAAAGAATTTGGTAAGAACGATAGTGTTGGCACCCACAGCCAGCCCATGTCGGGAGCACAAGGCCTGAGGTACGATCTCCCCAAAGATGACAATGCTGATGGTGGAGGAGGCCACCGCCACAAGTCCAGACCCAATGAGGTTGTCTAGAAGGATGGTGAGGGAGGTGTTGACCAGCACGTTTCCCAGGAGCAGTGAGCAGAGCAAGTAGTTGCCCTTGCGCCGGATGGGCTCAATCTTGCGGGCATAGCGCCTCTCCTTCTCTGTGCCACAGTTCTGCACAATTCGCAGCTCCATGGGGTCCAGGGCCATCAGGCCCAGGTTGAGGCCAGAAAATATGCCCGACAGCACCAGCAGCACCATAATGAGGAGGATGTGCAGCCAGAGGGGCAGCAACTTCTTACCCTCCTCTATCATGAAGAGCAGAGAGTCCTTGTCAGTCCACCTCTGCCAAGGCTCCTTCACCCCAGCCCGAGTGCACAGTGCATACAGCTTCATGTTCTCGCTCCTCCGAAGGAACTTAGTGACCACCACCAGCATCCCGGACGTGTTCCCGCGGCTCACATTCACCAGTCGCTGGACGACCAGGTCCTTGGTGAGCTCGGGGCAACCGGTGGAGTTGTGGACGGTGTCGTAGTCGTCCACCTCGGTGAAGGAGATCAGGTTGCTGGAGAACGAGCCCAGACTCTGGCCATACAGCCTCAAGTTCACCGTGCTGCCCTCGGACACGTAGATGATGCCATCGGGGTTCATCCCACACGATGTGTTGCAGCTCGCCAGCCTCATGCCCAGGATCGCCCCGAGCTGGGGGGCGTCCTGGCCCCGGGCCCCCGCGCCCACAGCAACACCAGCAGCTCCAGCGCCGCCAGGAGGAGGCGCCCTCGGGCCGGCCCGCCGCCCTGGCGCCCGCCCCCGCCCACCGGCGCCATGTTGCTCCGGCAGGGCCGCCGCCGCTCCCCGCGCCCCGCCGCGCAGCCCTGCTCGCGCCGCCGCTCCTGCCGCTCCACCGCCGCCGAGCCAACTGCCCCGGCCGCGGGCCTGACGTCAAGGCAGCGCCCCGCCCGCCCCGCCCCGTCGACCCACGCCCCTCATTTGCATGTTAGGCCCCGCCCCTGGGCTCGCGGCTCCCGCGCGCGTTCTTAAGGGGGCCTGGCGCTTAAGGTGGCGCGGCGCTGGCATCCGGCTAGGGCGTGCTCCGCAGGCCTTTCCCACCGCTGGTGCTCGGGCGAGGGCACCGCTCTCCTCGGGCCCCACCTGCTCTCCGGGAGGCGCCGTTCCGCATCCACGGATGGGCCTCGCGTGGCTGCACATTCCCTGTCCCCAAAAGTCTGCAGCTCAAGGCTGGTGGCCCATCTCATCTGGAACCTCAGAAGCAGCACAGCGTGGTGCTCCAGACGAAAGAAAAAAGCTTTTCCTGATTTGCCAAAGAAAAGGGGAACCTGAGGGCTTAGGAAATGGGCCTGGCCGGGGGCTTTTTGATGACCTTGGCCCCAGGCCAGAAGTAAGTTCCCCAACCACAGTCCAGAGGCTTCCTTAGGCCCTTGGTTGCCTGGGGTGGTGGGGGAATTGGGAAGCTAAGGATATACACTGCACGTCATTAAAGGGGCTTATCTCCTGTCTTTCCATTTAGGAAGCAAATATTGAGCACTGACTATGTGCCCAGCAGGTGCTCCAGGCTCTGACCATATAAGCCAAAGTCCCTGCCCCGCTTGATTTACAGTCTACAGACTAGAAAACAGACAACAAACAAGTAAGCATAATTTTTTTTAATCTTCTTAACCACCCTAAGAGATCGTGTTATTATTTTCATGTTACAGATGAAGAAATTGCACCTAAGCACAAATCAGGGTCCTTCTGTTATAGGACAGGGAGCGGGGCAGCCCAAACCCAGGGTTGCAGGGTTTGGGCTGCCCCTCTCTCTGTCCTATAACACTTCCAGATAATGATCTTAGGGCAGGCTTGTGTGACTTTGGTAAGACTAGTTGCAATATGTCTTAGCCCCAAGTTTCTTCATTTATAAAATGGGGGTTGTCTATGTGTAAGAATGATACAGCATCATTTTACTGATCTTGTGGGAATAATTGACCTAGGCCTTGAACTTGAACTCTGAATTTTCTTTGACTACATAGCTGTTGTTATTATTGTTACCTGCCCTTCCGGTACGAAACCCCTAACTCCAAATTGTGGGGGTGACTGAACAGATGTGCCAGCTGTGTGTGAAAATGAGCTGAGAGGTGTGGTGCCAGGCCTAGCCCTGAAATGATTGATTGCTTCCTGGTTTGCCCTATCTCACTGTCAGTAGGCAACTATGAATCCAATACTACTCAGGGTGTGTGGGGAAGACCTCAGCTGAGAGACCTGTAAACATCCTTAGCACAATTGCAAAGGTACACTAAGGAGATGATCCAGGCAGATACCTGGTTGACCACTGGGTCTCAGAACAAGTTTTTTGCTAGCCCTGGAGACACAGAATCCATTTTACTTTCCTCCTGCACAAACACTTGTGTTTATTTTTATTTTTGTATACTCTTTGGCAATAAAAGCAACAATCAATAACAGCCGGAAAGAGTCTAAACAGAGAAAAGCAGTCAACCGGTGTAATAGGATGAGGTATGGCAGAGAGGCCAGATTTAAGAAAGGAGCTTTCACAGGGTAGAAGGTCCTGCATACTAACTAGCCTATCCCTTGCTGGTGAGGTGCCTCCCTTCATATTCCACCATGAGGGTCTAGCTGGCCAGGCTTTCAGGGAACAGGAGCCTCAGGATGGGCACTGGCCAAAACAACAAAAACAGAGGTAGCCTTTGAGGCTGTTCCCTCCCAACCCCACTAACCAGGCAGAGCCACCTGCATCTCCACAGAGCGAGCCCAGCTCTCAGGGAGGCTTCTCCCCAGCCAACCTGGTCTCTTCCAGCTGGTGTTAGCATTAGTGTCCCCTCCAGGGTACTTAGAGACTTTCCCATTCTATTATTGACCAGTACGCTATTTTTAATTTGCCCTTTTAGGGACTGTCTGTCCTCAGAAGCTATCTACATCTGCACTGGGTCCAATGACAGAAACCAACAATGGGAAGGAAAAAAATAAACCTTTGAGATACCAAGGTTAAAAGTGGGAGAAGTGGTGAGGGTCAGATGGGAAAAATCAGTCTCTGTTGAGTTCATTTAATTTCATCTATCGGTGATGATATTCACATCTGAGATTAAGTGAGTAAATTCAACAAAGTAAAAAAAATGAAATTCCTTTTTGCCCTGTGATCTAACAGAGAAGGTAGGAGCCCCCATAGTAAAAAATGATACACTATAATGTGGAAAGCATTAGGAGAGATGTTTGAGACCCACTGGAGTCCAGGTTCATTGACTGCCAGGTGGGTATCCCTAATTAGTGTGTTTAACCATTCCACATCTGCAGAGTTGAAAAAAACCTCTCCAATAGTGTTGTGAGAACACTGTGGAGATGGAGGCCTATCAGTAAGAGGAATCAGGAAGCCTGAATGCATGTGTGATTCTTAGGAGCCCACCGTGGTGAGAATCACAGAAAGTCACATGCAAGCAAGAAACCACTCTCCTCTAGGGGTGCAGACTGGTTCTCTAACTCGGAGTGGAAGCCCACACCTTCATTTGTAAGTCAGGAGTTTGGAGTTCTGATATCACGAGCACTTCACAGCACTCCACTCACCACATTCTTGGACTTTTCTTTCAAGGTTTAGTCCCTTGAGTCTCTCAAGGTTTAGTCCTTGTGGTAACAGGTCTGTTTCCTGTGCTTGAGCCTGCTCCTTTCTGGTACTGCGCAGGGAGATGGCCTTAAAGTTTTATTGCCCTTTCTTTTGTACCTGGCATTGTGCTGGCAGTAAGGGCTAAAGATGATCTAGCTCCTGAATTAGTAACCCTGGATCTCCTGCTCTTCACCCTAGGCTGCGATCCTCCCAGGCTGGATTCTTAGCCCTTTCCGACCTCTGGGTCTCCAAGATGGGCTTTGACAGAGAAGTTGCCCATCTGCAGGTGGAGCTCACTGCCTAAAACCTGTTGTGGCCTGTCATTGGATCCCCAGGAGATGCTGTGGGCCCTTGGACACCAGAACCTGTTGGGGAGCAGTTGGGCATCCTTTCAGGGTGGCTCAGGCCATCAGCAATACATGCAATTCCCTGCTCACCAGTTCTCTGTAATAACCCTGAACATATGCAGGTTATATCCAGGCTTTAATTGTCTTGAGAAGGGGCTACTATCCCTCCCAGAGGTACAGGACAAGCTGGGATGTTGCCTTGGCTCAAACCCAACTTACGTCACCCTATCAAGTGGGGTGATAAGGGCCTGGAGTCAGGATTTCTACATGAGACAGACATAGGAGGAATGGAAACATAGGAGGGGATGGAAAGATCAGATCTGCAGGTCCAGGCGAATAAAAGGATGTGCCTTTGACAGGGAGTTGCCTGCCAGAGGAGCAAAGGTGGAGAAGCGTGTATATTCACTGGCTAGGCTAAGAGGCTCCTGTGGCCTGGGACTCATTGTTCTCCTTTGGGACAGGAGCATGGGAGTCAGGATGCCCACGCCCTCCCCACCCATCTTGGGGTGGTGGGCACAGCTCTGGAGACACAATGCAGGGCTAGTTTGGCCACAGATTTTGTGTGGCCTGGGGCCTCTGAGACATTCTTGAATTCTGAGTGAGATGATGCCTCATCCATAGTAAGAGCTCAACAAACAGAATCAGTGACTAGGCTGATGATGGAAAGGATGCAATTGGAATTTTTAGAGTGCACTCTCAAATTTCCTGAGCTCCACTGTGTCTTTCCTTCCAACTTTACTCACCATCTTCTTGATCTTTCCTGCAGAGGCACAAAGTGAGCAGAGGATGCTGGGGGAGGAAGGGAAGCTGACAAGGGAGATCACAGAGCACTAGGCAAGGCCACATCTTGAACCCATGGATCTGCAGGGTGCAGGGAGAGAAGACGGTGGAGGGTGGTGGAGGCAGTGCCAGCACAAACGGGCTCAGGTTACAAAGGCTGGGCAAGCTGGGAGAGGGGGAAGCCCTCACACAGGATCTGTAAGAGCTAAGCAACCTGCAAAATAAAGCCTGTGAAGAAACCCTGTGAGGAGACTCACATAGCACCAAGGCTGAGAGAGCTAAGTGGAGCCAAGTGGGCTGGGAGGGACCCAGGATGCCCTCCTGCTCCTTCTCTTCTCCTCTCCTCTCTGCTTCCCTCCTCCCTGGGTGCACTGGCTCACCCTCTGTCCCCAGGACTGACTACCACAGCAGGCTTTTCCTTCCGCCTCCTCAAACACAAAGACCCTTTTTTATTTTAAGAGATTAACTATAGAAAAACAAGGAAAGATGAGATAACAAGCACTTGAGTGTTTAGAAGGCTTTAGAACAAATTTCTTGGAGTCACGTTTTGTTTTCTAATTTCTCCTTTTTCTTAGTTGGCAAATGGGAAAAGGCCGCAGCAGAAATGTCATGGGCTCCATCCCTCAGCAGTTGGTGAACTGAGACAAAGAGCTTCACCTCTTAGGGCCTTAGTTTCCCCTTTTTAAGATGAGGTTCAAGAGACCCTTCTCACTGTACTGAAAGGCCTAAATGTATTGAAAGCACTGCTTTTCAAATGTTGGTTTCTTTTCCATCCCCCACACCGGGACTTTCACATTACATTTTGTGCATTAGTTCATTTATGTAATTTTATATTTTACCAGGCATTTAAAAATAATTTATTTTAAAATTTTCTTTCAGTTGGAAGTCATTTCCCACTCGGTTGAGAGTAGGAATGTGTCATAGTCCTCTCTGTATGCAGAGTGCTCAGCATTCCATGTGTGCATTTGTGGAGTGAATTGGATTTCCCTTAAAAAGAGCCAAGAATGGGCCTCCCAGGTGGCGCAGCGGTTGAGCGCTGGGTTGCAAAACTGCCAGCTGCCAGCAGCTTCTGCAGCGCCGGTTCGATCCCGGTTCGATCCCGGTTCGATCCCGGGCTGCTCCCGGTTCGATCCCGGTTCGATCCCGGGCTGCTCCCGGGCTGCTCCCGGGCTGCTCCCGGGCTGCTCCCCGGCGGCGCAGACCTCTCCTGCCGCCCGCTATTCCCCTCAGTAGTGTACTTCGGTCCTTCTGCCTGCTCTGCTCCCCGCTCTGGCTCTGGTGAATTCTCTCACCCTCCCGCCCTTCTGACTGTACCCAGTGCTTGTATAAATAAATAAATAAATCTTTAAAAAAAAAAAAAAGAGGCAAGAATACATTTGGGAGCCAGGTATGGGGAGGAAGCATTTAACCAATACCTTTACCTATACTATTACATATAATTAAATATAATTCACAAGATTATATTTACCCCTTGGTATAATTTCTGTTCTACCCATTTAAAAAAAAAAAAAATCTGATCTTGATCCAAATAAATTGATTTCTTGACTGATCCACAATTTGAAAAATACAGGTCCTGTGTTGCTCATGAGCATCGCAAAGGAATTCCCTGTAAAAATTGGTGGGAGTTAGAATGTTCCCTATGTAAATAAATAGCACCCACACTCACAGGGTGTGGCATAATACATGTGTGGCAATAAATCACCCCAGGCATTGAAGTGAGGTGAGTTCTCAATTCCTGAATCTTACTGTCTCCTAGCCATTCCCAGAAAGGGAGACAGCCTTGAGATCTTCATGCACAGCTGTCTAGATTTTAGCAGGTTTGTCCCCAACATCCACTAAGGCACCAAATGCCTATTGGGCCTTCAGCAACCAGGTTATCTTGCTGGGTCTTAGGGTCTTTATCTTCAACATGAG